CTCCCTAGGACAGTGAGGAAAGGAAAAGATGAGGCAGTGACAGTGATCTGATTATCAGGCTTCTTAATGGGAGGGGAGGTGCCTTGACTTTGCCTAAAGGAAATTAGATTTTACTGAGGAACAGTGAGTTGATGCTGTATAGTTAATAATTAATAACTATCCACTAAAATGACATTCTGCCTATATGCTTTGCAAATGTTAGCTTTTAAAATTTATGTATTCAATTGAGAACATAGATTAATTATTAAAAGACAGAAATTTGAACTGTTAGCCTGCAACCTGATGAAAATGCTTAAGATAATAAGGGATATTTATAACAGCCCAATCATTGGTGGTTATTAAAGTTAGAACATTGTTCACAGTGAAAACAGCACCATAAGACCACAATTGGTCAATTAGAAGCATTCCATCTATCAATGCACAGGCAAATGTTAGATGCTTTGCTAAAACATAGTTTGTATTCTTATGAGCAGGAAAATGGACTCAAACATTGTGCGTTTTGAATGAAAATTTATGACATTGTCAATCATGCAAATATTTAGGAAAAACTACTGGACTCCTTTCAACTTAAAACTACAAAACACTCCAGCCCTGCACAATCTGGTCTGGCTCAGTGGATAGAGCATCAGTCTACAGACTGAAGGATCCCGTGGTTTGATTCTAGTCAAGGGCATGTACCTCGGTTGCAGGCTCAATCCCCAGTAAAGGCCATGCAGGAGGAAGCCAATTGATGATATTCCTCTCTCATTGATATTTCTATCTCTCTATCCCTCTCCCTTCCTCTCTCTCTAAAAAATAAATAAATAAAAACATATTAAAAACAAAAACAAAAATACTCCAGCCCTTGCTGGGTAGCTCAGTTGGTTATAGCGTCATCCTGATATGGCAAGGTTGTGGATTCCATCCCTGGTCAGGGCACATACAAGAAGCAACCAATAAACGCATAAATAAGTGGAGTAACAAATCAATGTTTCTCTTTCTCTCAATATTGTGGTTAAATTGCATTTCCATAAATGCCCAATGTATGGCATTACACAGGAAGATGTAAGGTCTTTCTCCTGCTAAGCACTTCTCAGAGTGTCTTCAGTTGCTTCTGAGAGTTCCTCAGAGTATGTCACATGTGCTCAGGAACATGTCCCATATACATTTTCCTTTGAACTGTCCTTTAAGCCCACATGCCTCTAGCAATGAGACTGCCATCATGTTGACACCACTATTATCTGCCGTGAACACTTAGAGGAAGTAACTTCATCCTCCTTTACCATTCTAAATCAAGCATGGAAATGGTTTTCTTATCTTTTCATGGTCCAACTAACTCCAGACTCAATATTCAGCAATCTATAGCAATAAAAGAGTAATATGCTAATTAGACCAGGTCGACCAGCCATCTTCCGGATGTCCAACTTCCTTCCAGACAAAACCATGGTGGTGGGGGCCAAGGCAGAGGCAGTGAGGGGTGATCAGGCTGGCAGGGGAGAACAGTTAGGGACAAGATCAGGCTAGGAGGGGAGGGCGTTTGGGGGCAACCAGGCTGGCAGGGGAGGGCCATTGGGGATGACCAGGCCTGCAGGGGAGGGCCTTTGGGAGCATTAGGCAGGCAGGTAAGTTAGTGGCTAGGAGCCAGCGGTCCCAGGTTGTGAGAGGGATGTCCGACTGCCGGTTTAGGCGCTGTGGGATTGGGCCTAAACCGGCAGTTGGACATCCCCCGAGGGGTCCCGGATTGGAGAGGGTGCAGGCTAGGCTGAGGGACCGGCCTACCCCAACATGCACAAATTTCATGCATCATGCCTCTAGTATTTTAAAAAAGCTTCAGGGATAATGGATAAGGGAAGAGAAGGAAAGCATTAAAAAATAATTTCCTATTGTTATATGGGGCTATGCTCAAAGATCATAGGCTCAGTCTCAGTATCGCCTATCTACACTAATAAAAGAAACATGCAAATTGGTGTCACTCTGCTATGCCCACCAGCCAATCAGAACAACTATGCAAATTAATACAACAAAGATGGCAGTTAATTTCCATACTCAGGCACGGAGAGAAGACTGAAGGCTCTGGCCGGAGTGAAGACTGAAGACTGAAGACTGAAGACTGAAGACTGAAGACTGAAGACTGAAGACTGAAGAGGCTTGGCTTCTCTGCTATGGCTGGATCAAAGGCCTGGGTCCTGGGTGCTGGAGGAAAACCAGCGCCAGCAGCCAGAGGAAGGACGGCCTATTGCGCGAATCTTCGTGCAACAGGCTTCTAGTAGGATAATATTCTGCTGAGTCTTCCAAGCTCTGTGTACAAAGGACCAGCTCTTTTACTACTGAGGATGTGCCAGAGGTATTTGGTCTTTTGATTCCAGATTCAAGGCCTCCAAGCACCAGAAAGAACAAAGTGTCTCTCTTTTCTGCAGTCTAAAATCCAATGCCCCAATTATAACTTTTATTTAAAGTACCCGGTGTCCAACAATATTTGATAGAGTTATACTCATTACCATGCACGGAGGTTCCATTGTCCATGAGTTTTGTTGAGGTTTTATATTTCTTACAAGAGGTAAGAGGGTGGTGTTAAAATGTCAATGGTTCAGAAATGTAAGGCCATGATTTCTGTGATTCTTTTAGCTGCTTTCTCATCGTGGCTTACAGTTTCCTCAGATACAGAAACATACCTACATTTAGAGCAGGAAGATATAGGGAATGTGGACCTCTGTTTTTGTTTTTCTATTAGGAAAGCAAATACATCCTCATAAAACCTACCTATTACCCTTCTGCTTATGCCCTAATGGCCCAAACAGGGCCATATAACCACTCGTAGCTGGGGAAGAAGGGCAATCACAGTGAAGAGAAAAGAGTGTTGAAAATGAGTGCTGAGTTAGACAACAATGTATGCAAAAAAAAATAATAATAACATGCATAGAAAACAGTAACCAATCTAGTGCCAGTTGAACTCTGCCAAATCCAGTTTTACTTACCATCCTTCTTCCCAGATGAGATAAAGACCATGCATAACATTCTTTATGCAATCTTTATATTCTCATCTAATAATCTAAACAACTAATTAAGAACTCAAACATTACACAACCATAACGAGTAGAAGTGTAATTTTCAGACAAAGTAAAATTTAAATATATAACTTTTAAAACACACTTTTTAAAATAGGGGAACATAATCTGCAGAGACATACCTCTGACCACAAAGATAATTGTTTTTTCTTTCATTTTGCCAAGTATGGATTAGCTTCTTAGCACCACAATTTCAGAAATACTGCCATTTCATAAGAATGCTTGTAGCTTTATTTTACTAAAAGCTACATTAAGATGATTTCAACAATGCAGGAGAACAACCTTCTCCAGAGTTGAATTCATATCTCTACCTCTTTTAGCATAAAAACTTTTAATATGAGCTAACATACTTGTTTACTATTTATTTTGTTTCTGTCCATTGTTGTTTTAATGACCAATACTAAATATCAGGAAGTAAACCAAGTTGTATTATGAAATAAAATTTAGATTTAGATGTCTTTTAGAGTTAAAACAGGGGACAAAATATTTGGGGTCTTGCAACATGTTCTTTTAATCCCAGCTTCCAAACCACCATTGAATACAAGCTTGTTTTTCTCAGGGTAGAAAAACTTTCAGAAAGTTCTAAGTACAGCATACTAATATGCTTCCAAAATGAGCACAACACTGCAAACTTAGAGTAGAATATGTAGTTCTACCTTCAGCTGCAGAGCAGATGGGAAGGAAAGGCATCTGTCTGGATAGGTGCTCAGATAAAATAAACAGAGGAAAATGTGTAAATTTGAAGACACAGTAGATCATAAATGAAAGAGAAGGGTGGAGATAGAGGTAGGGCTGGGGTTGGTTGCAGGCGTGTAATTTCCTTTATTTGGGAGAATTGGTATATATAACCCCCTAGGATTGTACAAAGAATCATGGACAAGTAGCCCCAAAGCACTCAGTTCTGACCAGGGTCTATGATTATGCAAACTTAAAAGCTGTGGAAAGAGGGTATGCTCAATATAAGTGATGGATAATAGCTGAACAAACTGCAGGGCTTCTGTTTAGTAGCATTATGGATGTAATGGGAAATTCTGATGGTAGCCCATAGTAATTGGTGCACAAAGTGGAATATGAGAGAAGTAAAAGCAGGGACAGCAGTGTCCCTCACACACAAGACGTTTCTGTGTGGTTGAGGACATAGCAAGTGGGCCATATTAGAAGGATGAGGTTGGAACCAGTAGGATAAGCCAGGTTTTAACTGTGATTCTGATAAGCGCTCATTGAGATGGTGTTGCCCAGCAATGCCATTACTTCCATTTGTTTATTCATCTCTACTCTGGTTAGAGGGAAATGACTGATAGGCTTTCATACAATCATTAATTTATGGCAGTAATTGCCTCAGAGCCCTTTGAACACAATCTGTTGTGTAGAAGACTAAAAGGGAATTATCTTTGTAGCTTCAATAATGAGAGAAATTTTCAAATACTGAGAGGTCCTTAAGGTGAAATTAACACATCAGATTTAGGAAAAATGGCATTTAATATAGAAAAGAGTGTGTGATGCTGTGGGACTATGAACCCTTTATTCCAGCTTAGGTGGAAGGTCTGCTGAGGGTGTGTGGGAAATGAGGTCAAAAAGGTTGGACAGGAACCAATCACATAATGCTCAATTGGGCCATCTGCAATAGCAATGCATCCAGAGACTAAAACAATTGAATTGTCAAGGCTTACAGTAAACACTAGTCTGATAGCTCAATGCATCCATCTTGAGTTTTCTGGTATACATTTTATTTTATTGTGTATTTACTATACAATTAATTTATTTGAATACTAATAAAATATTATTTTTAACCTATAAATATAATACCACTAGTGTGGAATCCAATGGGGGTATAAATATCCCCTTATATGATTTGCATTGCCTCTTTCATCATAAATAAGTTATTATACATTAATAAATATTTCTGTAGAAGATAAGAGAACAAAGCAAGTGGAGATAATAAATATTTTTCAGAAGAAAGCTTTCTAGAATATTAAGAAAAGAAAAAGAGTCTGGGTCTGCAAACTAAAAGCCTTAACATGTTTCTAGAACAAATGAATAAATGGAGTATCTACCTTGAAACATGCCTGACAGTGTTAAATGTAAAAAGCCAGAAATGAATTCTGAAAGCATTCAAGCAGGGAAAATAAATTATCCCTCAAAGAACTAAAGTTAGGGTTAGTAGGAAACTTCAGTGAAGCTATAAAAGTCTAAAGACAGAAAACAATGTCTGTAGACCTTTAAGGGGAACAAATATTGTAACCCAATAATTCTGAAGCTAAGCAAGTTATCTTTTCTTAAAAATTAAAAAGTTTGATTAGGCAAGCTACAGAAGAAAAGAAATGGTAGTGAATGTGGAGCTGTATTAAACATGAAAAATTAAATTGCTAAAAGTTTATATTACAAGTGAGAAACTGCTGATATTGATGAAACTAGATGTGAATATTCATGTATTCATTCAAGAGAAATATATCAAACACATACTAAATGCTGAATACTCCAAAAACAAGCATTCAGTGTCATCCCTAACAATTATTAGACCAGGGCAGGGTAAAAATGGAGGCCCAGATTCCAAATTTCTAATGTTTAGGTTTTATAAATGAAATTAGTTTGAAAAATATAGTCATAATTAGTCAAAAATATGTGATAAGTTATGATTGAAAATAAGTAAAATATAAAATATGATTGAGTTGAATTACTATTACATATATTTTGGTGTGTTGTTGAGCCAGTGATTTTTGATTTAGAGAGACATAATTCATAAATTTTTATATACATATTCTAGGATATTCATTCTCTTGCCTCTACTATAACAAAATCAATAATTATATTCTTACTAGTAGCCTGGTGCACAAAATTTGTGCACATTAAAAGGGAATTCATTAGCAGAGATATTTTAATATTGCTATTTGCCCTTTCTTTATAATAGAAGTGAGAGAGATAGAAGGAAATTAGTAAAATGTATATGAAAATAATATATAAATTTATTAATAAATAAACAGTAACAAAAGGATATAACAACAACAGAGGCATGATATAAAAATGACAAAAACATTATATGAAAAAAACAAAAACATGATATGAAAACAACAAAAACATGATATAAAAACAACAGTGATGCAAACAATGACTGATAAAGTGATTAAACTTATTCTAATATCTCCCTGTACACCACATTAAGAGTGAAAACACTTTCAGAGTGCTTGACTAATTTCCCTTGTGATGAAGTACTTAGAACTTTAACTGTAACATCACATGCTCTTCAAACTCGAGAGAAAGCAACATATAACTGACCATGTGCAAAAAACGAGTTCAGGTAGGAATATGCCTACTTTGTCTAGAGTTTGTCCTTGTGATTTATTAATAGTCATCACAAATGCTGGCATCAC